TAATGTAAATAACTTAAAACTCTACGTAGTATACGAGGTACGTGCAAAGAAAAAGGTGAAACTTCAAATTTCATGCGGTCTATGCATTTGAAATTCAAATTTTTTTTTTTTTCTGTTATTTTGAAACACACGTTAACGGTACGATGCCCGACTTAGCAGTTGCTGAGGATGTCGGTATATCGGTTGGTTCATGATATGCAACTTTTCCGAATGTTTTGGGCATGAAATGTGTGGCAGCGAATTTTATCCGAAATTGATAAATTTTTATCAAAAGACCGGCCAAAAACAACACCGTAATCATGTCTTCAGTCATTGATTTTGGCGCCCTGGTGATAAAGCCTGGACCGCTGGAAGAATTTAAGGCCACACCAAAAAGCGCATATCGTAGATATGGCGGGGATTAGAAAAAACTGATTTGTTTCAACCAAATATTCTGCTTATATACCCTTTTACAAACAAGTTATCAGTACTTAACGTTATCACGACATTTTTGTGCTAAGCCATTCTTCCATTAAGTGTTAAGTGTTGATCTCTTCGCTTTGACTTGTTTTCTTGCAAACTCTAACCATTTCGGAACAATACGTATGCATTTATTATTTAACTAGATTACTCTTTTACACACACACAACTCGACTCCCAAATGTGTTAACCATGTTAAAACCGCTTTTAACATACCTTAATTCTTAGGATTTACTGTATTATTATTATCGGTCTTCTGGACGTATGATTGTTTTTTGTGTAAAATTGCACGTTCGTAGATAAGAAATACTTACTACCTTTGCACAAAAAAAATGCCGATAAAAACATAGAGAGAAATTTCCCTTACAAACATAAGCAGTTATTTGCTCAACAAAAGTTTCTTTTTCATGATTGGAAATTTTTTGTTCTCAAGAGAAATTTCCCTTTGGTTATAAAACATTTAATTTCTTAAGAGAAATTTCCTTTTCATAATTAAAAATTTGTTATACCCGGGAGAAATTTCCCTCTTGATTGTAAAATATTTATTTTCTCAAGAAGAGAAATTTCCTTGCCATGATCAAAACTTCTGTATTTCTGAGAGAAATTTCTCTTTTAGAAAAACTTGAGAATGAGCGCAGCACACAAATGAGTTTATATTAGAACAAAAATAATGAATGTTTAGCGTGTTTAACAATAAACTAACACAAGCACAATTTCGCAAATGCTTTGTTATTTTCATAGAATTTGTTTTTCAATTCATTTATAAAATTTCTCATCAGTGCTTGCAGAATGTGCATGAATGTGCAACGAGCTTAAAGCGCGTATCGGATCAAAGTAGTTCTTGACAGTGAAAATACTTGACGCTTCTATAAAAAAATTTTGGGTTTTTTAATTAATTTATAAAGTTTTAACAACGTACGTACGTATGTCGGGCACAGAGTATCACCCGTAAGAATAATGTATAACGAAATAGTAAGAAAAAATATTATAACAAAATAAACAACAAAATCGTGTTTTGATAATGTAATAACAGCAACAACAAAAGCAAGCAACGAAAAAATAAATTTTACGACTACAAATGATACTCCAAAGTACGAGTATAGTTATTGAGAAACATGTAAAGAAATTTTTTAAAAATAAAAATATTGTAAACAATTTGTCTTTCCATATATAAAAATTTTTAAAAAAAAAAAAAAAAAAAAAAATGAGGTGAAATAGCGAAAGTAAATAAAAAATAAAAAATTTTATATATTTCTACCTTTCTCCAGCTATGAGATAAAATTTTCATGATCACAATTTCTTTTTAACAACAAATACTAAACAAAAAACTTAACTATTCAACCTTTTAAACATATGTAAATGATAATGATAATTAACAAAAAGTAAATTAAAGTGAAGTAAAGTGAATGAGACAAAAAGCAATTAGAAAATGAAGAAGAAGAAAATGAATTAAATGAAAAAATCAAATGAAAAGAATTTATTTAAGAAAACTTCAATGAGAAAACATTAATAAGACGAGAGTTTCCACTTCAAAATTTAAAAAAAAATGTGTATATAAAAAATATTAGTTAGATTTTGAAATATTTCTTTGCCTTTCTTATTTCTTAATTCTTATATCAGCCGTCGACAGAGAAGCTGTTTTAACATAACTATTTAAAACCAAAGAAAAAGTTCTCCAAGTTATCTCACATGCGATTGTAGCGAAAACCTCGTTGTCATCGCCACATTTTTTTTAACTCGATTTTTGTTGGAAACCCGAAAGAAAAGTTAGTATTTGTTGGAAATATCGATGAATGGGGTACATTAGGATCGTGTGTCCTTCCCGTTTGTAATACGCAAAAGCAGAAGTGATAAAGGGCGCCTTGCACATATGCTTTACAATGCATAGCAATTGCTTATGAGTATACGGTGCATACACATTTACATATGTGTAACACGTCATATGATACAAAAACTATATGCAAAGTATACAAAATTTATTGAAATACTCCAAAGAAGGAAAAAAAGAAGGAGTGAAGTTTTCCCATAATAAAGAAATTAAATCCTTCAAGGGATGGTAAACTAAAGTTTGCTATAAAGCTTAGTTTAACAGTGAAGTTCGTGAAGTTTGGCTACCAACCAACACATTTACACATAAAGAATAGAATTTTCATTATATATATTTATAATTCGTAATTCAAGGATTTAGGCAAGATCGATAGGGGATTTGCTACCAAAATATGGAACAGGTTTCAAGCTCAAAATGAGAACTAGTCAAGGCGAACCCAGCATTCGCAGCACTCGTAGCTGATGCCATCTATGAAGCGCATCTGCAGCCGCGTTTTTGCATTTGTTCCGAATGCAATTATACTTTAGTCTGTCTATTTCCATCTCTAGTAGCATGTTTAATAATAAATGAAGAAATTATGAAAAAATGAGCGGGCGAGGGGCGGTGTAGTATTTGCCATATAGTATTTACATATCTTTCCCGTCCTGGTTTTTATCAAAAATGAATATTTGAATGCAAATGCAAATATTTGTAATATAAGCGCGTGCTTCTGACGCATTACTCTCTTTCCAGGAAAGTGTGTTACATGCGTCACATCGCTTGCAACGTTATATTTATTTATTTTTTCATTTAATATGGAACAGGGTTGCGTATATCTATTAAAAACGTCTCACCGATAGAAGTCACGAAACAAGATTTTTACTTATTGATTTACCCTTAGGAAATTACAAGCTATATAAATAAAAAAAAGTTTTAATAATAATAACAAAAAATAATAATAAATGGTAATAGTAAATAAACAAATAAATCAAAGTAAAAAATAAATGAAGCAAATGAATTTTTAATTATTAAGCAATTACAATCTACCGATAATCTAAAGAAAAGAAAAAAAAAGTGAGAGCACAAAAGAATAATAAACAAAATAAATAAATTAAAAAATGAAATAATAATAAATATTTAATAAATAATAAAAAACAAATAAAATAAATATTTAATGAACATTACGTTACATTTAAAGAAAATAAATATTAAATAACTGAAAGGTAGGAGAAATCATCGTCAGCTCTGCGTATGACATTTCTCCGGTTTTTCTGATTTAAAATATAGTACGTGCTAAAGTACAGTAAGTGCTCGATTCACTATCGTAATTACGCAATATTCAACAACAATGTAACGTTTCGGGAAGAACTGCATGAAAACGGCAATTGATTAAAAAAATTGCATAAATAAAAAAAATAATAATAGAAATAATAAAAATTATCTATGAATTAGTCACAAATGTTTGTTCCGTTTACCAAACAGTCTATCTTTCATTTCCTTGTATTTAAAGCAAACAAAAAAAAAACACAAATACTTTTGCGGTATTATTTACCTCTTTGCATAAAAACGTTTGTTCGCACGCCACAATATGTCAAACTAGCCGAGACCAAGAAGAAAAAAAAGCGAATGATAAAACAATTTTTAAAAATGCACCCACCCACTGAGTTCGCGTATTGTTGATTAAATCAAATAAAATACAAAACGAAACAAGTGTAAAATTATTTTTATTCAAATGCAAATGTTTACAAAATATTTCATCACCAGAGTGATTTAGGAAAAGAAAAAAAGAACGAACAACGACATGCATCGTGAGTAGCGTACGCTTCCCTCTACTTCTCAATCTCTCTTTCTTTCACTCTCTGTTTCTCTCTCTCTCTCTCTCTCTCTGCCTCTCTGTTTATAATATCGAATGTTAGCGAGCGAGCACAAGTAATGTGTTACATTTCAAAGTTTCGCATTTTACTCGGGTGTACTTTACCTAACGTTTTAATCCTTTACCTTGCGGTTTGGTAAGAGGCTCCCTTTTATTATCTTCTTTTGTACCCTACATAATTTGTAGCACAGGATGTCAAGTGTATGCGGACGTACATAATGCCCAAAAGCGCTTCAGATAGACCCACCCACATATTATAACGCCGATAAGCTTGTCTGTGCGTCTGTCCCTCTGGTGTCTGTCCATGTACTTTTACCTCCAAACTGCAGATCGCAATAATTCAGATAATTTGATGAATTCTAATACACTCACATGCTTTGACCCAAGGACGAACGCTATCGACAATGGCTCGGATCGGTCCACTTTTTCGACTAATCCCCATATAACACCTTAGTTAAAAAGTCCATTGTAAGGAAGAAAATTTGAAAATTTCCAAATTTAAAAAAAAAAAAAACTCGCCGAGAAATATTATTTGAAAATTCTAGGTTAGTATGAAAAATTTGATTTGGCTATGGCAATCTTTCGAATCCTCCCGCATACTAACGTTCTCACCAAAAATTGAATGTTTTTATGGTAAAAATGTTTTATGGCGAAATTTGGTTCATCAATCTTACCGAAATTTGGACTACGAAGGTCTAATTTTTAGATGTTACCGCATATAACCATTCTCAGGAAATATAGGCCATTATTTGCCAAAACACTTGACGGTTTATAATAAAAATTTAAAGCACATTTTTTAATAAGATTTTTTTTTTTAATTCCTAATAAATGGCAGGGACCACATAGGTCTATTCTAAATGTACAGAGATTAACATACAAAGTGTACCCTTATAAGGAGAGAATGTTTAATTTCTAGTCTTTTATAAAGCAAAATGAAAAATAATAAAATTTTTAGGAAGAAGGTTAAGTTTGTTAAATTTAGATCACGTCATGTGATGTTCTTGGCATCCGGTAATATACCTACCGGTTTTCATGAAAAACACGCCTTTGCATTAAAGTAATGTGCAACGATTGAATAATTGTATTAAGCGAAACTACGACTACAATGTTCTTATTGGTTTTCTTTTTTTTTTGGTTCTCATAGATTTACACGGGCACTTAGCATTATGACATCTATTGATATCAAAGCATAGCGAAACTGTTACGAAGGAAGCTACGTGCAGCTTTAAATAAACCTCAGATAGCTTAACGTGAAATCATTTTTTGCCAACTGCAACAGGAATAATAATCACATTGGCTAACGACGTCGAATGTTAGCGAGAAATTTTTGCAAAAATATTTTTTCTTTTTCTTCTATTTTCTTCTACTTTCTTTCAAATTGAATTTTGAAATTCAAATTTCTGTCTGGAAGCATTGAGACAAAATGTAAATGATTGAATGGACTTTGAAGTTCACACCGACCAAGAAGTTTTTTTTAGCTTTATCTGATGTCTGTGAGTGAAATGGCTTTGGTTTGGTGTATCCCTCACATGCTTTAAAGATTAATATAAAACAAGTTTTATGTAATATTATAGACAGACAAACACCCGATACATATACATGCTGTCTGCTGCAGTCTTTCGAAAGAAAAAACAAAACAAAAAGAAACAAGAAATTGAATTTTTATCCGCGTTTGTACGAATTTCCTAACACCTATTACTACGCAGCTAATAGTGCCAGTAAGTAAAAATCATATTCAAGTACACTAAGTGATTATAAGCGAAGCATTAACTAGATTAGAAGGTTGTTTAACTGTTATCAATAAAAACACAAAAAGAAATCAAAAAATATTGCCCAAAGGAAAGCTTAAGCAATTTAATATTCATTCATAAGATAAATAGATTTCATTGAAGAAGTGAAGAAAGTGATAAAAACAAGAGTGGACCTAGCTTTATTGTCTAGCTCTGGCCTGATCGGAATGCTTCGTTAGCCATATTTTCATTCGGGTTTTTCGAAACGTAGAAGACTTGTAACGAATTTAATTTACCGCGTGGTGGGTACAGAAAGACAAAGTTTCAAGTTTGCGGCCTTTTATTGCCTTGATTGTATGCAGAACACAAAAGCCGTTGATAACGCTCTCCTTATTTATCGATATAAACACACAATTACACGACTGCTAAAAGCGATAATGAGGTAAAAAGAGATAAATGCGCAAAAACTATAAATATAAATCAATTTATGAGTTTAGTTTTGTTGCACAATTTTTTCAATAAATTTTTTCTTATTCTATTCTCTCTTTCTGTTATAATACGCGATATTCTAAAGACAGAAAGCACATAACAGGTCCCGAACCTGCGCAACGATTGTAAATACCGTAGATTGCTTAGGATTCCTCCTTACAGTTATTATATAAGCGATATTCTAAAGAAAAAACGCACACAAGAGGCCCAAATCCTAGTCGACGATTATCTAACCAATAGACAAACAGCCCACGGCTCGAAAATAGCTTAATTTGAAATCAAGAAACAAAGTTATTAAAAAAGTCGCAATTATTGACCGCACTGCTTACGATAATTACGAGCAAAGTATTCTTTGCTATTACTTTTTTATTATTTCTTTTTGTGGCTGTGTTCATTCACGTGCAAATAGCGTATCTTGTTCTGCAGTTGGTTAAAGAAAGAAAATGAGACATAATTTTTAATGGTTTTTTCCGTTAAGCGAAAAGATGGAAGCTAAAATGGTAAAAGTGTACCGATTTCGGTGCACGCCAACAAAAATTAGTAAGCTTGAATACATATTTCTTTTATTTATGGCACAAAAGGAAAATTTCATTTTATTGCGCGTACCTTTATCAATCTACGTCTCGGGCAGTGTTGTAAACATAAAACTCGCTCTATGCAGTTATTTAAAAAATTCCTTAAATGACAAGCAGTCGAACAATGGACCCGAATAGAACCATTTTCAATGGCGTTCTTTCTTCGTTCAAAACATGTCCGGCCACCAAATTTGATCAAATTATTTCAAAAACTGTGACTTGAGCACAACAATAACAGAAAGACGGATCGACGGAAAAGCTTAGAAAATAATCCTGAATCGATCGACCTCAAGTCCTTCTGGATGTTTTCATATATCCGCACAAACTTCATCATCATCAGAAGTACGAGGTATAAAAATTGCGCCTAACGTACGAACGTATTTAAGCGTGTGCCGAAACCGATACACATGGCTGGCAGCGTGTGAACAAGCTCGAGAAAAATGACGGATAGCACCTTTAAATTATATGGAGAGAATGCTATTTACTTCAATAAAAATGAAACACACGAGCTGAAAACAAGGGAAACTAATGTTTTGGGTTTCAAGCCATTTTCCATAGAAAAGCGATCGAAATTGAATTTTTCCTAGGCGTCCGGACTACGCTATATTTTTGAATACAAATAATATAACAAAATGTTTTGTAAAAATTTGCAAAGCGTTGATTGGTTGTTTATGCATTCATGGCCGTAAAACAGTGTTTTTATTCTTATTATCATTAGTTTAGCCGGATAATATATATTCTAAGAATAAAGTCTTAAAGCACTGGCATCTAAGGCTTCATTAAAACCTTTACCGCACTTGAGATTTGAACCCACCACCTTCGTGAGTTGTTAGGTTAGTCGCGAGTCTTTGTCCACCCGGCCATTCAAATTATTCTATGTTTTTAGATCCATTATATCCATAGATGATCAGATGAAAAATTTTTCTATAGCTCTTGTAAATCTTTACAGTAAACTGGATGCACAGCTCTACTCAGAGCTACCTCGACAAGTTTAGAAGCCCCTTTTTTTCTTCGTTTGCAACTTAACAAGAGCGTTTTATTGAATTGATTGAAAGTCACGTCTTAGTGATCGGACACAAAGCCAGAATACCGACCGGTCATACGCCTCGATATCTTGCTTATTATTTTTGCGAGTTGTCCCAGTTTCAAGTTCAACTGCGATTCATATAACACCGTCAAATAAATAATATTTACAAGTCGAGCAGTAAGAGACAGAGAACGGGACAACTAGATCGGTTTAGAGTTTTATATTTGGTTACGCATTTAATTTATTTTTGAGGTTTTCTTTTGTGCATATCGTGACTTTAAAAGGAACCCAGTCAACAATATTTTATACAATAATTTAATGTTATGTCAGTGAATCGATATTACGGCTTAGTTGTGTTTTATTTTATATATTTTTCACCAGCCACTCAAGACATGTCCTCCATTTATGTGCGAATCAGAAGTAGAACAGAAATATTTGCAGTTTCTCTTAGAGATTCTCTCACTTTAAGTCGAAACGCACTTGACGCAAGTATCCTCATAAAACATTTAGAGATTTCCCAAATGACAAATTATGCTATTGTTGTGCATGACTCATGCCATCGGCCGAAGCACTCGATAATTATAACATCGACAAACATAACATAATGACCGCAAGCACCGCAATGCGTGCATAATTGAGAAGGAAGTAAAAGATTGCATTTAAAAATTTGTAGTTTAGAGAATGATTAAGTTGAAGTTTTAATAGGGAAGCACGTAATTTTCACATGAATTGAAACCAAGGTTTAAGAGTATAGAGTAAGTGTCACGTTATCAATTTTCAGGTGTTTCTCGGCTACGACAAATATGGTTTTCTTACTCTGGGACTTGTTATCATTATATTATGTTAATCATGCATAAGTTCACGTTTTGCGTTGCGTTGCATTACAAAAGAAAGAAAAAAAGCCAGTTCAAAACGTGGCTTGAAAAAAATGGGGTATGAAAAGACGCTTAACCATAATTTCTTAGGGAGAAACGTTTGTTTGAGAGCGATCTTGTATGAATTCTTTTGGCTTTTCGAGCAAGTATTGTATTAGTAGTGTGTGTGAGTGCTTCAATATTGCGCGGACTTGAGATGTATCTATTTTTTGTTAGACCGATCGACCCAACTTTGCTTACGATTACTTCTTGAACGGCTTTAATTCAATATATCACAACATTCGTAAGTAAAACAAACTGCTGGGGTATCTTCTCATATTAAAACGTTGCTTGGCCTTGATATGCGAGACTTTACGTTGTGGATTAACATCTGCTAGCGATGCCCACGACTTATCCACTTGCAAAAGAATATATATATTATATATATTTTACCGAGTGCCACATGGAAACATGTGTACACACGTGCTCCTTCCCCTTCTGGTAAGGGCGAGAACCATCGAAAACTTTTATGGATCATAGACCTGACTCCATACTGGACAAGCAAGCAAGTCCTTCCCGCTATTTGGCGGAGAAAACACCCGCGATGGGCAGCTTGCGCTACCAGACGGACGCCGGCAATTTGTTCCTGGGCTCCCCGACGCCCATGATACTAGAGGGAAAATTGAAAGAATTAAATTGAGACAAAGTCACTCAGCAGATTAGAGTGTTGTGTTCCATCACCACGATACTCTCCAGTGTTATATGTTTCGTAGATCCCCATCTTCCTTGGTCCTAATTATAATGAAATGTACTCTGAAATGTACATGTGTTTCTCGGCGGGTCTGATACCCGACATAATAAAAATGGAAATTTTTGTAAAGTAAACGCTGTCCCAATAAAATAGAAACGCTTGCTATATAAAGTTCACTTATTTTAGGTAGCAAAAATTATATAAAATAGTTTAGTAAATTATTATAAAATAGTTTAGATAGTAAAAATCAATTATTTGCGTGAGCTAAAGCGAGCGAATGGTATTTTAACTGAATTGTTTTAGATTTAGCAAAAATGTTTAACAAACGCAATAACATTACAATGTAGAAATATTTTCTCATAAAAATATTCTAATAACAGTACAAACCATTAAATTTTGTCAAAAAATATTTAAAATAAGAAAGAATTTTTTCTAAACTCATTCGCATTACACTAAATTTTATTTATATTTATTTATACGATATATTGTAAAATTTTTTTATCAGTCACCTACCCCTTCAAAATCCTTTATATCAAGTGATATATATGACATATAAGAAAATTTGCTTATTATGTTTATTATAGGTCGCAAGCGAGTACGTTGACTCTCTTAAGCTTTGTATAAAAATTTTAAAAAAATTTTATTATATTTGCTTCATGTTTGTTATTCACTTCCACTTGAGGCAATGATTTATTCCTTAAATAAATTCATAATGGGCATCACTTTTAGCTTAAGACAAATTCAAAATCATTGATCTCTTTTTCTATTATATCGAGCTAAAGTTTATCTTTCCAATCTAAAGAGCGAGAGAACGAGACTGAAGTTTGAAAGCAAATAGCATTGGAAGCTCTCTATGATTTAAGGCAAAATGCGAATGCGAAACCACCGAACTAGAAAATTTGTGAAAGGCAAACTTACTGCGACGCCTCTTTTTCTTTTTTTTTTTTTTTGTTGAAAAGGAATCAATCATTTCTGGAGTGAAGCTAATACGGTAACGGTCAGAGAAAAGGGCTAAAGTTGTCTAGAAAGACTTAACGTAAGGTGTGTCCACGATGTCACTCAATCACAGTACAGCCATGGCCACAAGAATAGCATAAAAAACACTTTCATTTCAAAATATATTTTAAACAAAATTTCATAAAATTTTAAAGTGTTTGCGTGATTGAAAGAAATATATATTATGTTCATGCAAGGAAAACCATTTCAAGACCAAGAAATTTGATATAAACCGAAAATTTCCTGGCTTTAAAACCGGAACTAAGAGAAACTAGATAAATTCAGTCAGGTACACA